AAAATTGACTATGTAGAACATGTTCTTCCTCTAACATTATGCTTCCTTAAGATAAATATACCAATTTATACTTGTAAAGAAGATAACAAAACATGGGTGTGTGATACTACTTCCCACTTGTGAAATCGTGAATCCTCTTGTCACTCTCCTTTCCTCGCTTTTCACTGCTTCTGTAGGAATTGAGCCCTTTCCCTAAGTAGCCTCAGACACGGGGAGACATTCGTTGTGTTGCAGCCATAGACAAGTCTGGAAAGCTACTCTAGTGAGGCCTCATGTGCTTTTCATCTAGTGGGTCACTATCATATGCTCTGTCCTTCAACTTAAGGTTTGAAAATGTAGTTTGTATCATTGTTCCCAAGTTGATCAGCCTGGTAGACTGATGCATAAGAACCAGCCTTGCTTAAGATCAGTTTATTAATTTGTTATACTTTCCACTGATCAGAATATTAATGCTGCTTTTTGAAGTAATCCCTGCTTTATATATATATCTGATAAGACATGTAGTAATCAGAAAGTTGCTTCTTATATATGCAATTGGAGCAAAGGGTGCTAGAGTATGTAGCTTTTAAGATTGGTTTTTTAATTTCGTGTGTTTGGGTAGTTCTTAACACTTTGATTTCATCTGAAAACGATTTAAGTTACATTGAAATATAGATACTGTTAAATGGATAGTTAAAAAGTCCACAACCAATAGAGAAAAGAATAAAACCAATGTTTAGATAAACTCCATATAATTCAGAGTTTTTTGTAATATGGGGGATTTCTACCATGTGAGTCAGCATGGAGATGAGACGTCTGTCAGCACCCTGGCAGTAGGAATTGGTAACTTTGTATGGTGTGAGGTCGGTAGTCCAGTGCCAAGGGAAGTCCAGGGTACCAGTAAGAATAAAACTAATTTAGGATGCAGGTCTGACAGAATGACCAATTAAGCCATTTGTGATGAGAGCAAAAAGAAAATCCTATAGGAATTAACAAAAGAAAGGATGAGTAATTTCAGAGTTAGTCATCCTTCAATGTAAAAGACAGTATTGATTGCTATTCCCCTCAATGCAGGAGCTTCCCCTTGGTGGTCAGTACACTCCCACAGGGGGAGCACTGCTCAGCCAGAAGCCGGGTTCACAGCGCAGCGGTGGTGGCGGGAGCCTCTCCCCTCTCTGTGGCAGCACTAAGAACCCCTAAGGGGATGTCCACCGAGGGGTTCTGGACTGCAAGAGGGCATAGGCCGGGCTGAGGGACCCCCGCGCCCCAGTGCATGAATGTTGTGCACCAGGCCTCTAGTGTTTTACAAATAAATATAATCCTCTCCAGTTCTTAGCCTTCTTTTATTCTCCTCAACATCCAACATCATCTAAAATGTTAGGAACCAATGCAAACCACAAAGAATGTTTATAGCCCTGGCCAGTGTGGCTCAGTTGATTGAGCATCATCCCATGCACTGAAAGGTCACCACTGGTTCAATTCCTGCTCAGGGCACATGCCCAGGTTGGGAGTTTGATCCCCAGTTGGGGTGTGGGCGGGAGGCAGTCGATGAATACTAGGCTCTCATATCAATCTCTCTCTCTCTCTCTCTCTCTCTCTCTCTCTCTCTTTCTCTTTCCCCCTCTCCCTTCTTCTCTCCCTCTCTTCCTCTCCCTCTCCCCCTCCCTCCCTCTCCCTCTCCCTTTTTCTCTCTCTAAAATCAATAAAAATATTAAAAATAAAAAAGAACGTTTACATTCTTTTATGTTCTTCACAAACTGTTCTAGAATGTTTGGAAAATGAATTTCAACATATACTAGTATCTTGTCCTAGAATTCTAATATTTTTCATAGGGTTTTTTTCTTTTAAGTATGTAATTCACTTTAGAGTTATAATGGTATTTTTACTATTCAATAGACTATAGTGAATGAATCAACAGAATTTGAGGAAAGAAATGCTACTTTAGCCAAAGAATGGGAACTTGACCTGAAATCAATGAAAGAGGAAAATGAAAAACTGTTTAAAAACTACCAAACTTTGAAGATCTCTCGGACACCTGGTGCCCTTGCTAATCCTACTACACAAGACGATAAGAATCTTCATGTTACATCGAGAGACACACAGCCCATCACAGAGGTATGTTAATTTTTTATATTTTTCAATTTGCAGCTTCATCACAAAGTTAAAGATGTATCTCATACAACATTTCAGAGCAGAATTATACTATTGAATACATTAATTAAGGAACATGGACCAGTCTTTGTGTGTGTGTGATCTTGTTTGATTTATTGATGATAACCATTCTGATAGGCATGAGGTTTTAATTTACATCACTCTGATGATTAGTGACATTGAACACTTTTTCATATGTCTATCCGCCATCTGTATGTCCTCTTTGGAGAGGTGTCTATTTGTTTCCTTTGCCCATTTTTTCATTGGATTGTCTTCTTGGTGTTGGGTTGTATAAGTTTATATATATTTAATTGATTTCAGAGAGGAAGGGAGAGGGAGAGAAAGATAAAAACATCAATAATGAGAATCATTGATTGGCTGCCTCCTGCATGCCCCACACTGGGGAACACGCAACCCGGGCATGTGCCCTGACTGGAATGAACTGTGACTTCCTCATTCACAAGTCAACACTCAACCGCTGAGCCAGCCAGCCAGGCGAGTTGTAGAAGTTCTTTATATATTTGGGGAATTAACCCCTTGTCAGATGTATCATTGGCAAATATGTTCACCCATACAGTGGATTCCCTTTTCATTTTGTTGCTGTTTTTTTATGGATTTTTTTTGTTTTTGCTTTTTGTTCTTTTGCTGTGTGGAACCTTTTTAGTTTGATGTAGTGCCATTTGTTTGTTTTTTTCTTTGTTCCCTTTGCCCTATGAGATATATCAACAAAAATATTATTACTCAAGATATCTAAGATTTTATTGCTTAAGTTTCCTTCTAGGCTTTTTATGGTTTCATGACTTACATTTAAGTCTTTTATTCATTTTGAGTTTATTGTGTTTAGTGTGAGTTTGTGGTATAGTTTCATGTTTTCGCATGTACCTGTCCAATTTTCCGATATGTGTCTTTTTTTATAGAAAATTCAAGAGCTGGAAGCTTCACTGCATGAAGCTAAAGAAAGTGCTATGCATAAGGAAGGCAAGATTATAAACATGCAGAAAGAACTTCAGATGACTTATGATGTAATATCAAAACTTCAAGCACAAGTTAATGAATCAAATAAATGCCTTGAGAAAACAAAAGAAATGACCCAAGAACTTCAGGTAACTTCACAAATTCATAGATAAGAAGGGTTTTTTTTTCCTTTTACTGTTGAATTTGGCAGATCATTTGGGAACCCAGGCTTTTACTTCAACTTCCTATTAGCTAGGTATGTCTCAAATTCAATACTCAGGCTTTGAAAAAGCAAGTAACAACTTAGAAATGAAATACAGGAATATAATAATGATTATTTATATCTTTCAAGAAAAAATTTTAAAAGAAATAGATATTTTTAATAATTTAAGACATGTGTTCATGTTTCAAAAAATGCTTCTTAATATTTAACACTCCTTATAAGATAAGTACATTTTGAAAAATTATTTTTTCTATTTTAATGCCCTACTTATTGAGTCCACCTATTAGCCAGTAGCCTATGGGCTTAATCTGACCTATGTTCTTTAGAAATAACAGTCATTTCAATGTTTTTTAACTTGAATGCCATTACACAACACATCCTCATTTATCACATCCTTAACCCACTCCCTTTTGTTTTAGCTCCAGCCACTTCTCACACTTCTGCTACTTGAGTCTGGCCCTAATAGACATTTAAGTTTGCTATTCTGGCTCCAGTGTCTTGTCATTCCAGTTAATTAGAATGAAGTAAAAAATGTGTGCTCTTCCCTAGTTGGTTTGGCTCAGTGGAAAGAACATTGGCCCATGGACTGAAGGGTCCTGGGTTCAATTCTGGCCAAGGGCACATAACTCAGGTGCAGGCTCTATCCCAGCCCTGGTTGGGGCACATGCGGGAGGCAACCAATTGATGTGTCTCTCTCAAATGGATATTTCTCTGTCTGTCTCCCTCCCTCCCTTCCAGTCTCTCTAAAAATCAATGGAAAAATATCCTCAGGTGAGGATTAACAACAACAAAAAAGAATGTGTACTCTTTTTATTACTTAACATTTATTCAATGAGACATTCATTAAGAAAAAGAATTCTATATGTATGTATTTATATATGAACTAGAGGCCCGGTGCATGAAATTCGTGCATGGGGGGGGGGGGTCCCTCAGCCCACCCTACACCCTCTCAAATCTGGGACCCCTCGAGGGATGTCCGACTGCCTGTTTAGGCCCAATCCCACTGGGCCTAAACGGGCAGTTGGACATCTCTCTCACAATCCAGGACTGCTGGCTCCCAACCACTCCCCTGCCAGCCTGATAGACGCCTAACTGCTCCCCTGCTGGCCCAGTCACCCCTTACTGCCCTCCTCTGCCATCCTGGTCACCCCCAACTTTCAGGCCTCCCTTTCAGTCCTGGTCCCTCCCAACTGCTCTCCCCTGCTGACCTGATAGCCCACAACTGCCCTCCCCTGCTGGCCATCTTGTGGTGGCCATCTTGTGTGTTGGAGTGATGGTCAATTTGCATATTGCCTCTTTATTAGATAGGATAATTTGTTTCTGAGTGGAAAGTAGATATATTTATGTCACTGGATTGAACCATCTTTGAATCCAATGCTGTATAATACTTTGTGCCTTGAATTCAGTTCTATTTTTATAATTTCTGATGTCTTTTTGTTTCATTTTCCTAACTTTGTTTCATTTGTCTACCCATTTCTTTATTTTCAACTTTTGTGTTTTATTTTGTAGTTACTGTTTTTTAATTGGGGAAATAATTTGTTTTAAGAAATAAAACTCTTCATATGTTCTCTACATACTAGTTTCCAATAGCTTCAAATATACTTCACATCAAATATCTATTTGTTATTCATTTTAGGGTTCAAATTTGTGCCTTTCCCATTTTTCATATATGTAGAGTTTGCTGTTTGAAAATGTTTCCACCAATAAAGTGAAACTACTCTGAACTTATATCTTTCTTTTCTCTAAAAAAGGACAAAGTTGCTTTAGGAGCCAAACCCTATAAAGAAGAAATTGAAGATCTCAAAATGAAGCTGGTGAAAACAGATCTAGAGAATATGAAAATTGTCAAGGAGCTTGAAAAGGAGTATGTCCTTGCCTTAATTGAACATGACTTTAATATCTTAAGTTTTCTTTCCAAATGATATATTTCTTTTCATTAGTTAACTTTTGAAAATACTGTTGTTATAGCTTTTTTTAAATGAATACAAACAACCACAGGGTTTTAATTTGTTAAATTCTCATTATATATGCAAAGATTTTAAAAAGTAAGCACAATTCTGATCAATTACTAACACACTATGTCTTTGGATGCTTCCTGCTTAATCACATATAAATAGCTTAAAATGGCCTTTTTATGCTTGAAAGTGAATGTTAACACATTTCGTACTGCTCAGGAGTTTTCTTGTGTTTCGCGCGCCATCTGTTAAGGACCGCTCACGAGTGTTCTCGTTTTTCACGCCCATGGAAAAAGGAGCGAATCTAGATACTTATGTAAATTTTGTTTGGTCCCTTTCCATAGAGGAAAATGTTTTACGCAGTACCATACGTTAAAAAAGTACTAGGAACTTTAATTGTTTAATTGTTTTTGTAAATAAAAATGTTATAATTATTGAAAAACACTATCTAAAGTGCATTATGATGATTTAAATAACATGCAGTTTGCCCAAAAATGTGCGGTCCGTGGCGTATGTCTTAGAGATTTCTATGCGGTACGCAATGTGTTAAGAAGGTGCGTGTGTGGCCCTGGCAGATTGCTAAGTTGGTTGGAGCACCATCCCATACAACCCAAGGGTTTCAGATTCGATTCTGGTCAGGGCACCATGCATACCTAGTTTGCTGAGCAGGCAATTGATTGAGATAACTGATTGATGTTTCTCACATCAATGTTTCTACCTCTCTTCTCTCTTTTTCTCTCTCTCTCTCTCTCTCTCGATGTTTCTACCTCTCTTCTCTCTTTTCTCCTCTCTCTCTCTCTCTCCATCCCCCTCCCTCCCGTCCTTTCTCCCTTCCTCTCAGAATCAATTAAAAAAAATCCTGCCCAGCCAGTGTGGGTCAGTGATTGAGCGTGGACCTATGAACCGGGAGGACACGATTCTATTCCTGTTCAGGGCACATGCCCAAGTTGAGGGCTTGATCCCCAGTGTGGAGCATGCAGGAGGCAGCCAATCAAATGATTCTTTCTCATCATTGATGTTTCTATCTCTCTCTCCCTTTCCCTTCCTCTCTGAAATCAATAAAAATATATTTTTTTAAATCCTCAAGTGAGGATTTTTTTTAAAAATGTGTATGTGTATGTAAATGTGTATTTAGCAGTTTGACTAAGGTTTCTGTTGCTTCTCAGTTTCATTTGTTCTTCCTATTGTGTTTTTATGTAAAGGTTGTATAGGGTGGAGCAAAAGTAGGTTCACAGTTTTTCATATGGAAAATAATACAATAATTAGTATTACAAGAATAAACTGTTTCCCATATTCACAACTATAAACCTACTTTTACCACACCCTGTAATTCCTTTGAAATTATAGTACCTAGTGCTCAAAATCATGTCCTCTTGTTGTTGCTTTATCTATGTATGATACTGCACATACTAGCATGCCTCAAGTTCATTGTGGTATAGCATGATGAAGATAACATTAAAAGAAAGTTGGGTAACCTGAATTAGAAATATAATGTTGCCATTTATTAATATATCAATATGCAAGTTGTTTAATCTCTCTGCTTCTCAGTAATAATCAATAAAAGGATGGATTTGTATTAGAAGATTTCTGAAGATCCCATCTGATTTCTAACACTTTTTATTCTTCCTATAAATCTTTAATAAATATTTAATGATAATATATATAAATTTGTGCCAAAAGATAGCACTCTGAATCTTTATGCATTCTAATCAGCCTTCCATTGATAACACTACTGGTTTTAATGAAACTAATATCCAATTAATAGCTATTGAGCTTCCACTAATTTAAAAGGTTGGTTTCTCAATGTTAAATTATTGCCCCTGAAAGCAAACAGGATACTTCCAATTTGATGGTGTTATAGCTACAAAGTGCATGATACCAGGGTATTATGTCAGTGTGATATACCTTAATAGAAAATTCTTGTCAGCAGTTCTGTTTATTCTTCTATTAAAAGTTAGTTGCTGGGTTCTTACATATATCTATTGTTGTTTTTATTAGAATTGCTTCTACAAAAGCCACTGTAGAATATCAAAAAGAAGCTATAAGGGTATTGAGAGAAAATCTTAGAAGAAATCAACAAGCCCAAGATACCTCAAGTAAGTAGAAAATGCTGGTATTTCCAGGTCCTGTCCATTTTACTTCTCAATACACTTATACATTTTGAGAACTACTATTATATATGTGATAGTCAAGAACAAATCACTAATTTAGAAAGAACTACTTTTAAAATGAATTTATTGCAATTATATTTCTCTTGTGACATCTCCTATAATGTCAGCTGTTTACCCATTATAGGTTCTTGAAAAATATTAATTTTACCATTGCATTATCAGATCTTTACATATTAGGGAAGATATTCAGTACTATAAAAGAATGACTTAACTATCAAGATAGAAGTACCTTCCCAATAAAAATCCAAACATATCTTAATAGATTTTAATATTATACATAGTAAAATATAATCAGTGCATAATACAAATAAGTAAATATCCTACTTGTTCTTAATACTGAAAATACAGGGTTTATGCTTACTTGTAAACTCTTTAAAATTTATCTTAGGTATAGTTATCAAATCTAATAATCAAATTTTTGCATACACATTCCTCAAACTATACTTTATTCCATATCCCTATCTCTTGTGTTTCATCTTCCAAGAGAGAATGCTGAACAGTACTTAGGGCAGCTTCATATAATATACCAAGCAATGAACTAAAAGTCAGGGGCAGGTCTCTCAACTGATTGCCCTCACTTAATGGCTGTGAGAAATTGAGGGGACCACACCTGACCTTCTAGCATACGTGTGTACACATGTTGTGAGGATCACGCTAAAAGTGGTGTATGAAAGCACACTGAATATTCTAAATGTCAAGCAAATGTAAGATGGTATTTGTGTGTATTGTCTGTTTACTTAAAAAAGAAATTAGAGATAGTGTTAAAGATGTTGTCTAGAACATAATTTAGTTGAATGTCCCTACTGCCTATTGCAGCTCCTACATGGGAAACTTCAATGGGTAAAAATAGAACGAGGACTCTGTTGTTACATTAGGGTCAGGATAATGGTTCTTGAATAGTAAGTGATTTTTAGGTATACCTTGTGCCTGAAATCAAAATAATTCAAAAGAAAATGGACATTGAGTATCTTCACACTTTACCCCCTTTATAATTATCAGTGATTATTTCTAATTATTTAGTGGGCTCTTCTAAGCTACTCACATTTTTATGCAGTTTTACCTAAAATTTACAAAACAATTCCTCATACCAATTTTTTTATACATATAGTGTAGAATATAGGATAATATATGCTTTAACATAATTCTAAGGTTTGTTTAGTTAACAAGTATGTGTTGAGTATTTACAGTGCACTGAGTGGCTGGGGAGGGCCCCACACACACATTCTGTGTTGGAAGGAGCCCTTCAGGTGATTCCTCTGATGCAAGAGATAGATCAGTGGAGGACAACTCTAATTAGAGAGGGTTGCTGCTGTGCAGTCATGGGGAAAGGCTTCAGCAGGATTATGGTAGTAAAATTGGTGGATGGAGAACAGCAGGAAGAATTCTAGAGATATTTAGAATTCATGATGGAAAGGCATTGGAAGTCAGGTAGAAGAAGGAATTCAAGGATGATTTCCAGGGAGATGGTGGTTGAGATGTGTTGGGTTTTAGAATGACTTATTGCATTTAGTAATGTTTCCTTTATTTGCCTCCCACAGTTGTACTAGAAGTTAATGATTCTAAACCTTCCAATAAACCCCTCACATGTGGGGGTGGCAGTGGCATTGTACAAAGCACAAAAGCTCTTATTTTGAAAAGTGAAAATGTAAGACTAAAAAAGGAAATTTCTAAATTGAAGCAGCAAAATGAACAGCTAATACACCAAAAGAATGAACCATTAAGGTAAGAGCTGCTTACATGATACAGAAATTATGTTTATGGCTGTTACATGTTGGGGAGGAAAGTATATATCCATACATATATGTTTTTTGCAATTAGCAACCCTTCAAACATGGGGAAAGTAATTTTTAGAGTTCATGTAATGTGTCTTCTTTAAAAGGAATAAGAATATGGTAACACTAGTCCAGATGTTTACTATCAGTCAACTGACCTCTTTTTGACTAAGCCAAGAACCAAGATGTGAACAGAGATCTTTGAGGGGGCAGCTTAAATATACTACATGTCCATATACCAAAGTCATAAGTCCTTACTCAATAGAGGACTCCTTAGGGCCATTTTTGTAACCTGCTTCCTTTTACTTTACAAGCAGTTTTAACGAACTTATTTGGCTTCTACCAAAGATTAGAATCCTGTGCTAATCCTATATATTAAAACCCTAATATGCAAATAGACAGAACGACGGAACGACCAGTCACTATGACACACACCACCAGGGGGCAGACACTCAATGCAGGAGCTGCCCCCTGGTGGTCAGTGCACTCCCACAGGGGGCGTGCCGCTCAGCCAGACGCTGGGCTCACGGCTGGCAAGTGCAGTGGTGGTGGTGAGAGCCTCTCCCGCCTCCACTGAAGGTGGGCAGTAAGGAGCGAGGAGTCCCAGACTGTGAGAGGGTGCAGGCCAGGCTGAGGGGACACCCCCACCCACAGTGCACAAAATTTCATGCACCGGGCCTCAAGTCTACTAATGATATAGTAGAAGAAAAGTAGACATCAAATAATTACACAAATAACTAATTCTTTCTAATGAGTGTTGTTAAACAAATGGAAGAGTTTACCAGAGGATCAAACTTTAAGTGATAAAGAGGGCTGGTGATCAAGAGACTAATACTAATGATATAGTAGAAGAAAAGTAGGCATCAAATAATTATACAAATAACCAATTCTTTCTAATGAGTGTTGTTAAACAAATGAAAGAGTTTACCAGAGGGATCAAATTTTAAGTGATAAAGAGGGCTGGTGATCAAGAGACTAATCTATGAATAGATCTGGATAATGAGTACAAGTTGAGCTGGATGAAAGGAGAGACAGGTAAGCCTCCTGGGCCCACAGAACAGCATGTGCACAAGCTGTGAGTGAGAAAGAATAACCAGTTAGGTGGAACTGAAAGACATCCACTGTGGCCAGAGCATAGAGAATGAGACAAATGCAAGATGAGGTGCCATAGGTGCTAGATTCCACAGGCCCTCATAGATCTTTCTGAGGAAGTTTGGGTGGTATCCTAGATGTAATAGGAGGATGACCTCCACTGCAGGATTTGAAGCTGGGGCCTGGTGAGATCAGGTAGCATCTCTGGCTACTCGAGGTCTATAAGGAAACCCAATTTAGGAATCTTGTTTGTTGTAGTCTTACAGTCTTCTTTCTCTTCCTCTTTCCCCCCCTACCCCCCATTTAAGCAATAATCATCATCTTTCCAATGAGGCTCTCAAAGATGTAACTTGTGAGAATTCTCCAAAGACTCCAAAAAGAACAGCTTCTGAAAAGAGACACCGAACACCTTCTCAGTGCAAGGAGCAGAATTTACAAGATCCTGTGCCAAAGGAGTCACCAAAATCTCGGTTTTTTGACAGCCGGTCGAAGTCCTTTCCAGTACCCCATCCAGTTCGCTATTTTGATAACTCAGGTTTAGGCCTTTGTCCAGGTGGGTAAATATGTACTGGTTCCTTGGGAATCAGGGGTAACAGTTGGGACTTAACTGTACTATGTGGCCCCAAAGGGCAAGTTTTGACGAGAAGAAGGAGGTGAGCCGGTGATGTGCACAGCCTTCATTTGCTGTCTTTGTGCGAGTTTCTCCAAAGCCCAGCACTGAGGTCCAGTCACTCCAAGTGAAGACTTTATTCTGCTTCTTAAACCCTCAAGCTTTTCCCAAAGATAGACAAAGCAACTCTCTCAAGGACATAAAGACACTACCCTATATACAAAACTTTTACTGAAAAAGACTTTCTCATCCATTCAGTGGGCCAGTAGTCCCAATAGCATTATATTCATTGGCTTGTATCATTTACTTATTAATTCATTCAGTAAACAATATTTTGACCAACTATGTGCCACACATTAGACTCCGATGGTACATAGATGAGCAAAACCAGACATGGTCCCTGCCCACTGGAGTTTGCAGTCTAATAGGAGGTATAGTTGGGAATCAAGTAGTCCAAAAAAGGGTAAAATTCTAAGAGTGCACCAGACTCTAAGGCTTATCATAGGTTTTTGTTCCATGAATGTTAAGGCAGTCTTCCTTGAAGAAGGGAACTGAGATCTAAAGGTTAATGTGAGTTAGCTTAACAAAGAGGAGAGGGAAAAGCATTCAGGCAGATGGAACAGTGACAGCCCCAGGGTAGTGTTACCAGGAAACCCCAGTTGGGCTTGGGCTGCCTGTGTCAGATAACGAAGGCAGATTTGAATCATATTAGGCGTTTATTGAAAAGGCCAGCCAATAACAGTGACAGCCCCAGGGTAATGTTACCAGGAAACCCCAGTTGGGCTCGGGCTGCCTGTCGCTGTGTCCGATAATGAAGGAAGGGTTGAATCATATTAGGCGTTTATTGAAAAGGCCAGCCAACCAAGAAGACAGGGCGCTTACAAGCATCAAATCCTGCCTTCCCAGCAAGGTACAGGGGACAGGATTATAAAGGGGAAGGGGCTAGTGCTACCTGCAGCCCTGGGGGTCCACAGACATCAGCTATTGTAGACATCAGGCGATGAGATGATGTTGCTGAGATGATGTTTTGACTCCTGGTCTGACCATGCTAATTGGTTCTGCTTGCTGGATTCACAGCTGAGTCACCTCCTCAATCACTTCGCACAGGCCTTGGAAAGGAAACTCTAAGAAAAACGTAACGCCCTATTCACATAAATATATGTGTTCTAAGATTTAAAATAATGTGATTACTTTTCAGATTAATTCAGGTGCTCTATCAGATATGGGTCACCCTATCAGTAGGAGGGACCACAACAGGGAAGGTTGGAAAGACACTGGTGGCCAGAGCACAGTGAGCATTGGCCTGTGGGAATGAAGTCAGGGAAGCGGGAGAGAGAAGAGCCAAGCTGTGGGGCTTTTTAGAGCACACAGAGGGAGTTTTACTCCTTCCTGAAAGCATGTAGAGAAAGCCTTTGAAAGATTTTAAATAATGGCAGGGAACATAATGAGTTATACATTTTGAAAACATTACCTCTGCTGTGAGGTAACCAGCAAAGAATAAGAGCAAGACTCTGACAGTTGCCTCAGCAAGAGTGACAGTAGTGTGGACCTGGGCAAGTGCACCAGCAGTGGAGAGAAGTAGGCAGATGGGAGAGATCTGGAAGTAAAGTCAGCAGTGCTGGGGGCCTGGTGGGAGGGAGTGGGGCGGTGTCAAGGCTCACTCCCAGCTCTGCAGGGGTGCTGCACTAGGTGGTCATGGCAAGGGAAGCTCTGTAATGTGTTGCTTGTAGTCTTTCTCACCACATGGCATTCAGCGTGCCCAGGTGTGCGGGGCTAAGCCCTGTGTGACAGTGTGTCTGCCCGTCTGAAATACCCTATTACACAGCTGTAAACAACTAAAGCAACAAAATCATACACTAAGAAAGGCACCTGCCAAATCATCTTAAAGCCCTGACTAAAGGTTGTCAGGGTTTATGAGAGCTCTGCTTTGTGATGAAGAAATCTTACCTATTCTAAGAAACCTATTCTCATCAACCACACATCCAAATTCTGTCATCAGCAGTCTGAACATGCTCTTGGGAGTATTGTAAGACACAGAACATTCTGAATTTTTAAAGTATTCACTTCATGGAGTAGTATTTAACAACCATTTAAGACCTTCCATTAGCTAACACTTATATGGAACTTTTGCTGTATACGTACACACTATTTTAGAAGAGTTTGGAAAAATAGAAATTTTTATAACCACCCTTCTCTCTTTATCTGACAGTGCCTGAAGCACAGGCATAGTAGGAATTAATCCAACCACAAATAAATCTGTTTCAGTCTATTTATCAATAACAGATCCCTTTGGCACTATTTTTCAGTGAAATTAACAAAAGAGTAGGCTGGAGGAATATACAAATCAAAAAAACTTACCGATTCAGAATTAAAAGACATAGTCCCACTTAAATTAGTAAAATGACAGTCTAAAAAATTTTGTCAGTTTTTAAAGGGAATCTGAATTATCTCAAGAACTTGAGATGACTGGCCAGAGCAGTTAAGCTAGATTTACAGTGGATCCTTGAACAATGTGAGGGTTTAGGAGTGCTGATCGTCCTGCACATTCGAAAATCCAAGTAACTTTTGACTCCTGTAGAAACAGCTACTAATAACCTAGTGTTAACTGGAAGGCTTACTGGTAACATAGTCAGTTATCACCTATTTTGTATGTTATATGTATTATATACTGTATTCTTACAATAAAGTAAGCTAGAAAAATGAAATGTTGATAAACTCATAAAGATTAGAAAATAATTTATAGTTATTCACTGAAAAAATCCACATGTAGCCCAGCCAGTGAGGCTCAGTGCCGAGTTGGGGGCTCGATCCCCAGCAAGGGAGTACAGGAGGCAGCCAATTGATGATGTTTCTCTCTCATCAATGTTTCTATCCTCCCTTTCTCTCAAAAATCAATAAAAACTTTTTTTAAAAATCCACATATAAGTTTTCCTGTGCAGTTCAAACCTGTTGTTCAAGGGTCAGCTGTACTGTATATGGTTCATAAACAAATAGATGCAGCTGAAGTGCTTTTAAAGGCTCAGAGTTTTCCAAAGGTGTCTCGATATTCTCTAAACTACTATTTTAGCACACCATTTTTTTTCTAAAAATAGGACAAAAGAAAATCAAACTTAATCCATGTTTGATTCATTTTTTATCTCAAATTTATGAAATCAAATAAGACTTTATCACTCCTTGGTTTTATATACAGCAAGGTTTTTCTCACAATTCATTGTGTGGGAAAATGGAGAATAAACTTCTCTGTCTCTGATGAAGTGAAATACACCTTTTTTCATGACTGGACATGAGGATGTTAATGATCATGTTGCCATGTTTCATTTTTCATATCTCCACTGTCTTAACATCCTTTGCATTTCCAGTTGTACTTGAGTTTTGTGTATTTTTTAAATAAGATTGCTTCTTTTTTTTATTTTCTTTCCTCAGAAGAGCCAGCTGCTGGAGGGGAGAATGTGGATCCTCAGTCAGCTGCTTGTCAGGCCTTCTCAGAAAAGGACCTGCCGGAGTGCAAGATGCAGTAGTCACCTGTCACTTTTCCGGGCCCCGCATTCCTCCGCTGTTACTTCATGTGTCTACGCCTGGCGATTATGTCACAGTCCAACTGAATTTCAGTTCTGTTTTAGTTTTGCCACTAGATTGAAAGGTGAAGGAACAGGAGATTGAGGCATTCTAGTAGTTTAGGTGATAGCAATGTCGTCGTCTTGAATGTCATACTAAGAAGTGGAACTGTCTTATTTATTTATATATTTTTAAAGAATAAAGTTATTGAAGGAAACTTTAAATTATATCCATTTTTATTACTGTAGCATTATCCACATGGAACTTAACAAAATTATAAATTCTTTGTTTAGTACCTTGAACATTCAGTCAGTAATTAGTACTGAATCCAACTCCTAAAATATTAACTAATGGTTTTCTGGTAGGATATTTAGGATATCTTTGGTTCTCCTGTCTCATTTGTTAATATTTAGAATTTTGCTAATGAACAAAATGAATCGACCAACAAAATAAGATCCGAAGCATGGAGGCATGGAACAGACTGACATGCCTCGGTGAGCGGGTAGAGGGACGAAGAGATACACCAAAGAACTGATATCCCATGGACACTGGCAATAGGGAAGTGAAGGCGAGGGGCTGGCAGGAGTAAGGTAGAGGAGGGGAGGATGGGGGACATCTGTAATACTATCAATAATAAAAATATTTTTAAATGATGTAATTGCTAGGGAAAAATGCACATGCTTTCTGGATTTAAATTGTTATGGGATAGTAAATGCTATGACCATTTTTTTATTTTCTAGTCTTAATCTTCCTTTTACTGTAGTAACTACAAAACTTTTCTGTTACCCACCCAGCCCATTTCCTATATAAGCACTCTAAATTGGTTTGTTTGTTCCTGAATTATGTACTCTATTGCTCTTTACTCCCAGGTGAAAGGATTACTATGTCATTCTACCCTTTATTTTAGAGACGAGGAAACGGCACCAGAGTTTCTATCTAAATACCGTGTTCTAAACCTGAGACCCCACATATTCAAGGCATCTGTGAATGAGCTTCATGCAGGCTGTATAGCCTAAAAAATGGTTAGCTTGTGTGTGGATTTATTTTCTAGGATACTTGGGTTTATACTTTCTTTTATCATCTTCTCAAAGGGCTCTATGATGCTCTAAGAGGTCAAGGACTATGATTTCAGAGAGTATCCGATATTTTGTATCACATGACTGGAAAAGCACAAAACACCAAGTTACATGAAGTTCAGAACAGTTAGTCATTTCGAGGCATTCTTGGCCTTTTTGGTAAGATTCATTTCCAGGAAAGAAATTACGAAGTACATCATAGCTGTCATTTTTAGTCAATGTATTGCATATTTTTCCCTAACATGCTATCATAGCAATTTCTAGAGCTAAGGAGAAATTGTCCCTAAAATCCTCTCTTCTCCCCCAGGTCTGTACCTTGGGAGTGTTGTTTCTCCTTTCCACACTTACCCAAACAAGACACTATAACAGAGCTGCAGATTTGATTCTTTGCAACATCTGCTCCTCTACTGAATAAAAATAATGCAAATTAGTAGGTAAGCACACCTGGGTAATAAAACTACCTTGAGGCCATTAAAAATACAGTCAGTCATCAGGTGTCCAGTCTAGTAGAATGTTGCTTGACTGAATCTGGATGTCCATTGCCTTCCTCAGATTTGGGAAGTGTTTTACCATTATCTTCTGGCAGTACCACTGTGCATATAATTGGTCCACTTGCTGATGTCTCACAAGTACCTTAGGCTCTTCACTTTTTTTTTTTCTTTTTTGCTTCTCTGAATAGATAACTTCCAATGACCTGTCTTCAACTTTGTTGATTCTTCTGCTGCTTGATCAAGTCTGCTGTTGAGCCCCTCTAGTGTATTTTTCAATCTCCTCAGCTCCTGAATTTCTGTTTGGTTCTTTTTTTATAGTTTCTCTCTCTTTGTTAATATTATCTAAAAAAAATTTTAAGGACAATTTTTGCTATCCATTATTTCATTTCTAATAATAACATTAAGTTCAAATGGAACACTTTGTGCTGGTGGTTTTACATGCTAAGTCCTTCCCTGAGGTAGGTGCTATAGTTACCTTCATTTCACAGGTGAGAAAAGCAGGTTTGGGAGTTAAGTGACTTAACTACTGAGGAAGAGATAAGAACCTACCTTCATCTTTCTGACTCCACAATGTTCTCAACCACTAGGACTGTTATGAACACACTTAGCTCCAAGAACAAAAAACCTAAAGGAAAAAGGGAATCTAAAGTTTATTTTTCTCACATGAAAACTACAGAGGGCTCTTACCTTGAGGCCGTCTTCAAGGAACCAGGTCCCTCCCTTTTCTTACCTTGCTGTCTTTACTGTGTGCCTCTGACCTCACACCAAGTCACAAAGTGGCTGCTGTGTCCCAAGGCATCATAGCTGCATTCCAGGAGAAAGGGGCGGGGGAGAGCAAAAGTCAAAAGCCTTTCAGAGAAGCCTCACCTCTCTAAGAGGGAAGCCCTCAGAAATTCCAGAATACATTTCATTGGCCAGCCAACTCTAGCAGGAATTGAGAGTTTTGCTTTCTGGCCTTTCGAAAGTAACAGGCATGGAAAAGGGGTGAGTGTTGAGTAAGCCAACTTCTATATTACATGCACAAATAACCTACACAATCATTCTGCCCAATGAAATGCCGGATAAAATTCCAGTTATTAAGCCTAGCATAGAGGGCCCACTTGACCTAGTCCCTTCTTTTTGATCTGATATCTGTTCTCTTCTGCCTCACTTAATTTTTCTCACCCAACGTGTACTTCTACTGAAGATCCCCAGCCCCCCTCCCTTAGTGTAGTCAGGATGGCTGCCTTCTGCCACTAAACACGTATTAGTGATTAGAATAAACTGAGCATGACAGAATAACCACAACTATACCTTAACCACTAGACAATTTTTATTTCCCTCCCTCAAAACAATCTAGGGCCTGGCCGGCATGGCTCAGTAGTTGAGCATCGACCTATGAAGCAGGAGGTCACGGTTTGATTCCCAATCAGTGCACATACCCAGGTTGTGGGCTCGAGCTAGATCCCCAGTGTGGGGTGTGCAGGAGGCAGCCAATCAATGATTTTCTCACATCATTGATGTTTCTATTTCTCCTCCTTTCCTCTGAAATCAATAAAAAAAATCAATCTACTTGGTTGAAGGCCAGGAAGGAAGGCCCCAGCATCTTCAATGACCTGGATTCCTTCTATTTTGTTGCTGCTGTCTCCCACAGGCAATTTCTGGCTCAATATTTTTGTTAATCCTCACCGAGGATATTTTTCCCATTGATTTTTAGATAGTGAAAGGGAGGGAGAGAGGGGTGAGAGAGAGAAATATCAATGTGAGAGAGACACATCGATTGGTTGCCTCCCACGTAAGCCCTGACCCACCTGTGGATGGAACCTGCAACCCCTCTGCTACTCTTGACTGGGAATCGAACCCGAGACCCTTAGGTGATTCGGCCAAAGCTCTAACCACTGTGCACACTGTCCAGGGCCTGGCTTATTCAATCTTGTGAACCTCAGAACAGCACATAGTAGGTGCAAACAAACGACAAGGACTTAGAGATTAAACTTAAAGTGAAGGAAATGATTTCCACATCCTAAGTAAGCTGTAAAATGCTTTCCGCTTTTCACCTTCTACTTGGACTTAACAGTTCCAACCGAGCTCCACTAGAAGGCAGCACGTACACATATACAGTATGAACGTGAGACTCCTCTTAAAAACCGAAGCGACCTGAACTACGAATCCCAGCATGCACAGTTAAGCGCCTGACTTGCTTCTGCACAAAGGTCTTAGGTTTGTTGAGTAGCTGAGTGATCCGAGACGCCATTTATTTGCTGCTCTAAAGTAAGATTTCCCAATGTATTTTAAATGAAACTTTGGAGTGGGAAAAGGGGAGGTGGAATTTTTAGATGTTGCTTTTTTTCTGCACATTACCTATTTCAGGATTAATTTTAGCAGTTAGATCAGGATACGGGTGGGTTTTTAGCGAGTTTGAAACTCTGGTATTTTAGTAAGTTTTTCAGAATAGCCAAAGAAAAGAGCATTTTATAGTGTCTTACGTGAACATTTTTCTTCCTGGCTCATGAAGATAGAGTTCGTCAAAATGCTCTGTTTGTGTCAGTGCTCGTCGGAAATTAACATTTTGATTCCAATGTTTCGAGTAAGAAAGACATCGTGTGTGGTTCTCACGTTGGACGTATTGAAAGTTGCCTCGTTTCACCATTTCAGGCCATGTTGGCACTCATTTTCCTTAATAAATCCGTTTTCGTTTGTTAGTCCAGGTGTATCTAATAGTAAGCCTTTGGATCCAAAATCTGACCCCAGAAAGGCAGGGCGGGCAGCGAGGGGCAGGTTCTCAGAGGGCGCGAACGGGCTGCTCTGTGCTTCAGCAGTTGTTCAGCCCCTGCTTCTCAGCGTGTCACGGGGGAACCTTTGGCTGTGCCTTCCAGTGCCACGTGTCAGATGTCACCAATGGCAAGAGTGTGAACTAACAGCTTTGTAATACACCAGGCTCAGGGTTGGAGGAGGGTACAGATTGTTGGAATCTCTGACCCCTTCACCTAAAGATGTTATTTCAGGACTGATTTCAGGTTGTTAGTACTTCTGGAAGGTCTCTTGTTGCATAAGTATAATATTCCAGGATGTACTGCAGAAACTTTATTCTTCGAAATAATTTGAAGACTCTACTCCCTACTTCCCCAAATTCCCACATCACTGAGTCAATAACTCAGTGGCTATCCCCCCAACAACCTCTTTAATCTGATTATATCTGTATTCCTTCTTTTTTTTTCTACCTCTCTCCTCTGCTGGTTCAAAATTAATGGATAGGTAGCAGAGAAATCATCAGAAGCCAGGTGTTAGGGGAAAATGTCCTTACCCTACGCAGCAGGTTCAGCACCAAGGACAGGGGCACCCGTGCTGCCCAAACTGACGTGTTCCATTCATATGTTTTAGTCATGCCATGATTGTGTTCCTTAGGCTAAGAGCTCCCCCTCGTTGCTGAATTTATCTCAGTCATAGCTGTCATCTTATATTGAAATCGTTTCTTATTTATCGTCCCTACCACACTTAAGGGTACCTTCCTTAGCCTCACTTAGTACAATTCCTGGGACTTAGTAGACTCAGTAAATTATACATGAACTAATAAATGAATCAATGACTCAATAAATAAATACATTTCAGGAAAAGAAACAGTAAAGTCTTAGGACACACTTAGAAAAAACAAGTATGCAAGGATTCAAAAATCATATAT